AAGTATAACCGATTTATTTTACATTAAATAAATATATTTTTGGACGAAATTTTGAGAAACCACTGGATTTTTTCTGCCATTTTATTCCTGTAAACTTAACCTACAACCTATGTTTCAGTATTATCAAAATATTACGTTTTTCAACTGAAAACTTAAGAATTTCCAAAACATTTTTGGTAAAATACAAAATTTTCGAAATTAATTTTTCATGAAAAATCCTCATAGACGTGTTCCTGGGATAGAAATATACCATCCCTAAAAATATGTGCACTTATATTTAACACTCACCCTGTATATCGTCTTCAGTAGGGATAATGTTTAATAGCTGAGAAGAATAATAAAGAATGTTTGTAATTGCAACACTTACTTTACAGGGTGTGCCATTTTAGTTGAAATCATACGGTATCTTCGTTATTCGTGAAGATAGAACGGTGCGGTTTCCACAAACTTTTGCCACTTTTTTGTCAAACGGAAGATGCCGTAAACAAAATTTTCATAGCTCTCTTCGTTTCTGAGCTACAGGGTCTTTTTGAAAATTTTGCAATTTGTGACACCTCCTGTATCTCTGTTATTGTTAAAGATATTGGGACGGTGAAAACTGTTTATTGTAGAACTTTTTACGTAGAATATAGTGACGTAGTTGGTCAAAATGTATAGAATTCAGTACAATTGGAATGACGGCCGCCTTCAAATTTGGCCGCCTGGAGCAACTGCTCCTCTGCTCCACCCCTCAGGACGGCCCTGTTAGTGCTCGAACGACACCATAATTAATGTGCAATACCAAAAATTAACGTGCAATTGCCAATCTGTCATAATTACTTTAAATACAAAGATGTCTAATATTGATATACGGTCACTATAAATCAGGGGTGGATGGGGAAGTGGAAACCGGCCCGGGAAAAACAGGTAACCGGCCCAAATCCACAAAAACAAAATGACCATAACGAAGAAACTTATTTTATTTATTAATGGTTAAGTTATTTATTAATAAGTAAGGGTGTTTTCCGCTCGTGCGAAAAAAGCTCTTTTGCCTCCGGTTTAAAAAAAATTAAATTGTCTTGATCAAAATTTTAGTAAAGACCAATATTGGGTCGGACATCTGAATTTTTACTACAAAATGGCTCAGTTTTACAGGGTTCCACTGCTTTATTTCCATTATCGAGAACGGTAATTTGATCTTGAATAGGCTACGATTTTGAGTCACGATTTTGAGAAACTTTAAGACTTCCTGATCAGCTGACCCAATCCTCTGTGAAATACATTACTTTTAGCTTTTCGGGTATATACTTTCTTACACATTGTAGAAAGAAATTCTCTCTTTTCTGCTACAGTAGCAGCCTCCTCGTGTATACGTGTTTTTAACTGAATGAACCGCGGTCGCCATTAAAACTGCAGCATTTTTTAGGTTATTATATAGTTGATTAAATAAGTGCAAATATTTTCAGAGGTGGCGTATTTCGACCTCAGGAACACGTTTACGAGGGCTTTTTTTGCAAAAAAAGATGTTAAAAATCGAGCATTTTCTTTTAAATTTTCCTGTATATTTTAGAAAACTTTTAGAACTTCCTGTTCACCGCAAATTTTCCCACGGTATAGTTTCTTAATCTCTGATATTACGGCACTAAAAAAGATGCAAATACCGAAAAATGGTGGCTCAATTTTTTTTAAAAATAAATATATTTTTTAAATTTCCAAACTTTAATAACTCGATTGGACTTATTTGAAACTCGATAAAGAGAAATTATGTTTAGCAAATTCATCTTAGCAATATTTTAAACAACAATTTAGACTTGGCTTTTAGTCCGTCCCCGTCCAGAGAAAGACATTTTACAATAGTTATTTTACAAATTGGTGTTTATGTTTAAAAGCAACTAACGATTATACTGATGCAAATTGATTAGTTAGTTATGGAGTCACTAAGGATCTTACGTCACTTTAGTTAGAAGATAAACCATTTAATTTTTGCTAATCAAATCTTTTTTGAGCTCTGATCGGGACCGGCCCACCGGCCCATCTTGCCATCGGCCCACCGGGAATTTTCCCGTTTTCCCATATGGCCCATCCACCCCTGCTATAAATGCTGATAGGTAATTGTTTAGATAACATATTATAACAAAGTCGTTGAAGAGGTGCTTCCATAGAAACTAAATAAGAAATAAACTGACCTGCATTTGAGTTGGTTCACATGAAATCTAACAACTTTTTGTAATACCGTATGATTGAAAAAAAAACTGCGTCAGCGATGGCTACGAAATTTTCAGATTTTTACAAACTTATTCATTTTAAAATTAAAAGTCTGAAAATTTTTGGACCAAGGAATGTTTGCCTGGTTTATTATTATCATAAAATATGGCAAAATTCAAACAAGTTCCAAAATGCGATAGCTGTTGATTCTACCTTTTAAATGACCTTTAAATCATCAAAAAATATTAAATTTTAGCCGAGTTAGTAAACAATTTGTCCTATCAATCAATGATATCTGCTTATAAAATCTATCTCCGGACTTGGAGAGAAAATTCAGGGATCTTCGAGGCGGAATATCTCGAAAACTACTAATTCTACGTAAAAAAATAATAAGGGCCATATTTGTAGATAATTACCTAAGCTTCATTTTTTATTCCAAGAAAATGTAAATTGCATATTTTGGCAGATATTTGTGAAAAACTGATTGTTCGGCCATTTGGGACCATTTTTTCGGCTAAAGCTGGCCGAGCACGGTGTTACAATTTTTCCCCTAAAACGACTCCCCAAAAAGTACACAATCCGCCTGAAAAATCCCGGTCGAGGAATTAGGCCGTGGTTTCAACCTCCATTTACTGGACTAGAGCACTAGTATCAGAAGATATAATAATAATAATAGCTCCCGTATATAGCGTTTGACGCCTTGGGAGTAGCAAGGTACAGATTGCCATGCTAGAGCTGTTCGGTATACAAGGAAGGTAATGTGGCTAGCATTACGCTTCAACCGCCTATTATTACCTCAGGATTGTGAATCCCAAGTACTGGGTTGTGAATCCCAAGTACTGGGCTGAGTCGACCTAGGTACCCAAACTAGTATTATTTTAATAAAAATAGTCGGCTGATAAAATGCCGGGTGTGGGATTCGAACCCACACCTTGAGATTTGTAGACGAGAGCCTGTACCCTGTAAGAAGAGTATCAGAAAATAAAAACCAAAAACAATGAAATAAAGAAAAAATTATTTGATAATCTTAAACTAAAATATAAAATTGTTAAATTATGTAGTGTAGAGAAACTTTATAAATTTAACACACCTTTCTCTATTAAACCGTTGACGTTTTGATTGACTGAACCATTGTTTAGCGCTTTTTCCAGAATTGATACCCGGCAAAGTTAGAAGCGCTATTTATATTTAGGTAGATGACAATTTTTTTTTTGTTTTAGAAACATTGGAAAAACAGTTTGCTGGCCTGCTGGGCCTCACAAGGTACCACACCATGGACATGAAGGCATTCGAAGGATTTCTGGACGATTTAAAGATAAAAGACGAACTGAAATCGAGAGGTTTTATACTCCAAGACAGAGTTTTGTGTCTAGCCTGTCAGGCCCTGGTTAGAAATATCCAAACTAACTCCATTACAGTTGAGATTTTGGGTAGAAAAATTTGTAATTTCTATATTACAGTTAACACCTGGACGATCAATGATTTCTGTAAGGAATTGGTAAGAATTAATAAGGTAAGTGTCGAAAGAAATTGTATATTTCTTGAAAATTCTTTAAAAACCAGGTACAACTCTATCGGTTTCTTTCTTTTATAATATCTTATCCGCGACTCGTCTATAATTTGATTATTATACATGAGTTAATGAAATAATAATAATATTCATTATTCACTAGTGAATAATTGTTTCATTATTCACCGCTTCCACGGATATCTCGATTCAAACTCCAAAAAGAGCTATTTGAAGTTTTTAATGTCACTTTTTGCATTCATTTCTGGAGTGTTCCAAAAGTTGTTTTTCTTGTCATAAGATTTTTAAAATATATATTTTTCCTTTTAATAAGTCTCTCATGTTATATCTCGACATGTAAACAAATTATTAAACACCATTACGAAGAAACAATGTTAAAATTCCCTCATTTTCTATTCTAAAATTCGGTTAAAAAATTTGAAGTTATAAATGTCAGTTTTTGCATTCTAAAATTCAATTTAAAAATTTGAAGTTGTCAATGTTATTTTGTGCATTCATCTATGGGGGGTTTCATAAGTTGTTTTTTTTTAATAAAAACTTATATTAATACTGTGTTAATATTATCTAAATTTTTTTGATAGTCCTGGATAAAGTATAGCATTCTTCTTGCATATAATGGCTGTTATTCACTTGGATGATTTAATACTAACCTAACCAAACTTCATCCGCCACATAACAGCCACCATTATATGCTCGTTGAATAATACACTATTTTATAACAGAGCTGCAAGCTTACAAAAAAAACTTAAGTCTTTTCTTGATTTAAATAATTTTAATGACTTAAGTCATTTGATTTTAAGTCAATTTTTGAAAGCTGACTTAATAGTTAAGATTGAAGTCTTTTTCAAAATGATTTGTGATTTAAATCTTTATTCCGAAATAGAAAAAGATTTAAATCTTTTTAGAAAAGACTTTTTTTTCACTCAGTAGTTTTATACAGATACTGACGAAAATTTATTACTCTTTAAAACAGTTAAAACACATTTAGGTGGTGCCCCCTACAAATAGGAGTCATATTGACATCAAAATCAAATTTCTCACATCAAAAAACTGCCAGATACTAATTTTCAACATGTTTTCAACCAAATATTGACGTTACTTCAGAAATTATTTGGAAAATATCGAAGTAAAAATGAAACTTCTATCTCCGAAACTAAGCATTTTAGGGTACACATTTATACGAACTTTTTCACTTATTTTTATCTGCAGAATATGCTGTCGAAGTTTCCGGATACAGTTCGGACTACCCTGTAACCTATATACCTATATACTTCTCTGTTTTAGCCAATTCTGGAGTATATTGTACGACACAGTAAGATACTGAGTCCAGAATATGCGTGTTCCGTTCTTCTACAAAACGAACACTGCTATCACAATCATCCGGCTCTAAAATGGGAAACAGAAATTCCAGCGGGTGGTCCGGTTCTTCATATGAGTGTAAGTGAATCTTCTTACAGTGATATACGAGCGAGGAAAATCAAAGATTTTCTTTGATTTATACAGGGTCGTTCACCACATACGACACGGGGTATTGTAGCTAAACGATTAGATTTTTACAAATTGTAAGTTTTGGGCTGGTTGAAGGAAAAATATTTTTACAAGATATAGAGTGTCCCAAATAAATAAAAAATTTCAAAGTTTTATTTTTTTTAATGGAATACCCTGTATATTATTATATTTTTAGTTTCTGCTATTCTAAAATAAAGGTAAATTTGATTAAGGTTTACCCAAAGGGTTTACCGCATTTTAATCTTACCGTTTTTGAAATATTTAGGTTTTTGTCAAAATACAGTAATAATTTTAATAATGCTTCATTTCTCTAGGCGTACTTATAAGTTCTTAAAACCAAATATTGTACTGAATTATTTCCATTTGCTAAATGTTGTGTTGCAATAATAAAAATGATAATACTTTATACACAGTGTCTAAAAAAATATTTTAAATAATTACTAGCTTTAAACGGCAATAACTTGTTTAATTTAGATAGAACACTCTATATATTCTACGAGAATCAGATGCTCAATTTATTGTCTATCAAATTGTATTATGCTATTTTTTACCTATCTCTTCACGTTTTTGTAGAAAATGCATTTCCTGATAATTTAGAGCTCATTTATCAATATACCCATGGAATATTGACATTTTAGATTATTTTTAAAGATGTAACAAATTTTTAAAGAGTACAGATACTAATATTGTCGATATAGTTCGTTTATTTCATTAAAAAATAAAAGAACTGTTTAAATATTTGTTAACGAGGATCAATTAATATGATTCCAGTATTCAAACTACATTGGCTGTTTGCGTTGATTAATAATATTTGCTTCAAATACTAAAAAACTGAATTTTGTATGTGTATTAGACAGGTGGTAAAAAATAACTCCTTAAAAATAAACTACCGATTCAATTCATTCTATAAATCTCTTCTTGTCGTTAATTATTATTTTTTGCCAGCCTCTATATGTATTCTAGAAATACTACTCATCAAATACCAACTTATTTTACATTATTATTTTCACCTATTTTAAATCTAGGGTCGTAATAATTCAAACGGAAGAACAACGCCCCTGAAAATCCTCCATCTATCCGACTTCCATATTTCTCAGGATTACGAAATAGGTGGTGTGTCCGACTGTGGATATCCAGTTTGCTGTAAGAGGAAACTGGGGAATCCCATAAAGGGAACCAATGCTGGCGCCTGGGGAGACTACAACTGTGACGTTCCTCCATGGTTGTTTGTGAATACGTTAAGCTATATTAATTATACCCATCAAGTAAGTCTTAATTAATTTTTTTTTAAATATTTGTATCTTTCTAGTCAATAGACTATATTATGCAATAATTGAACTGAATATATTAATTTTACTCAATATTGTCGATTAACCTGTGATGGTAATATAACAAAATTCAATTTATTTACAGGATCTCGATTTAGTATACTTTACCGGCGATATCATCGACCACTCTGTATGGAAAGATTCCATTCAAGACAATGCCAATGAAATTACATATGCATTTGATAAGCTTGCAGAATCATTTCCAAACCTTCCTATATTACCTAGCCATCGGAAATCACGAATCTATACCTCTAAACATGTACGTATGGATTTATAATAATTGTAATATAAGAATAAAGTCTTCAATGAGTCAGGAAATATTTCGACAGATGACATAAAAAATCTCTCACTGAATAGACTATACATAATATATAAAATTTAAATTAACTAAACTTTTACCACATATATGGGTCTAATGTAGCAGATCATGCACCAATATGCTCACAGCATAAGTATGAACCTAATTCTGAACTGGAACAGTTTAAATTTAAATATTCTGGATTCAAAACTGAATATCTTTGGTGCAAGAAGTAGTTCATAAAAGCTGCAATTATCCAGAACAACATGAATAGTTTTAATCAAGCCAATGTGGAAACAAAAAAAAATATTATGGAAGCGCCACACTTTTAAATCTTCGATCGTTCTATTCTAGGATTGTGTCGTTCAGTCTTATACCGGAAAACTAGCCTACAACTGTTACAGATCTATCTATCTAATTATCTATTTAGCCTTTTTTGATCCATCGTTGGACAAAAGCTTCCTCCAATCTCTTCCACCCTTCTCTGTCTGTCAGTATGTTCATCCATCTTGTACCTGCATGTTTCTTCAAATCATCCGCCCATCTCATTTGAGGTCTTCGTCTACTTCTTTTATTTTCCCAGGCCCTCCAGTTTATAATGCGTTTGTTCCATCGATCGTCGATTTCTGCTAGCCCTACATAGCTCATACTACAATCTCAGGGCTTTAACAAAAGTCAGTATCTAAGACGGCTCCACAGAGGCCAGCTCTCCATCCTCGACATGAGCCGTACCAAAGTTCATAGCACGAACGGTCGTCATTTCGGCGCTCTTAGTGATAAGGTGTTCTGGTGTTTTCCCATTTTCCCCACAGAATCTCCATTCGCCGTTGTTTCTCAGCTTCAGCCCACTGAGGTGTTCGTTGAGAAGACAGTGCCCTGTTAGAAATCCCGTGACAATCCGAAGATTGTTTTTACTTAAATCAAGGAAAACCTTTGATTTTTCTCTGTCGTAAGTCCTGGGGCACTTTGTCGAGTGTCTTAAACCGTTGGAGGACACCCATTCCAGGTTACGGATGGAGTCTTCCAGATTCTTCATTTGCACTTTCAGTTGGTTCCCGTTTGGAAAACAGAACGGCTCTGGTCCAGTTAGTGGAGTGTTCGCTCCTTTTCTAGCTAGATCATTTGCTTTTTCATTGCCTTCTATCTCTTGGTGAGCAGGCACTCAGAGTATGAGGACTTTATTTTCTTTGCCTAATTTAATGAGCTTCTCTAGGCATTCTTTGACCAACTTCGAATTGATGGTTACTGAGTTGATCGCGTTTAGTGCTGCTTGACTATCTTGACTATATATTATTTAGTACAAAATCATCGTTCCCTTGTACTTTCAAACTATTGAAAATGACGCTTGAGTGATGCTCAGAGTCATTAAATGCACTACTTATTTTGGTAAAATGTGGTAAAATTAAACACTAATTCACCACAATATACCAAAATACTTTACATTTTAAACACTAGAAACACATGTTAACATCATCAGAAGATGATTAAAAATATTTTTGATCTATTTCTGAACAATGTTAAGGAAAGTAAAGTGTTTTGGTGTATTGTGGTGAATTAGTGTTTTATTTTACTGTTATAACATCAAGGTTTCAACCCCCAACTGTAAAATTCTAGTAAATGCTATAGAAGTTCTATTCATAAATGTTCTATTTAATAGGTTTGCACCACCTGAAATATCTGATCCGCAGTTTTCCCAGTCCTGGTTGTACGAGTTGATAGCAAAATTATGGGCCAAATGGTTGCCTCCAGAAGCAACATCCACCGTGGAAAAACAAGGATACTACTCCGTATTGGCGAACAAGAAACTGAGAATAATCGTGCTGAATAACAACGTTTGCTATATATTTAACTGGTAATTTCATTTCATTACGTTTCGAGCTATACATTTTTAAGCTTTTACGAAACACTAGGTCAGTCTGTATTAGTAATGAGCAAGAATTGTTTTTGTCTTGGTCTTACACAAACAGTAAGACCAGGGCTACTATTTTGTTTGCAAGACTAAACCAAGGCCGATCAGTGCAAGCCTTCCGCAAGACCAAGACCAAGCCTCTTTCAGTCTTGCTTTTTTCACATATAAGAAATTTCTTATTTGTTCAAAATGATTGTTTTATTTTATTACAAACAGTGTTTTCCCATGCAATTATCGCATAAAATTGTAAATAAAGAAATGTATATAATATTTTGAAAAATAAAATTTTCGTCAGTCAAATGAGGGGCAGACTTACTAAATGCATTTTGTCCATTTTTTAAGATTTTCATTCAACGGTGGCATTATAAACTACATACACAGAGTTACAATATTATGTCAGAAACGACGTTCTAAATTCATTTTATCCCATTCGAATTAAATGGCGAAAATACCTTAGACTTTCTATGTGCTATATGTCCATTGGCGCTAGATAAACAAACAGAAGTATGTCCTTGTGTGCTATGAACATACTGCTGTTTGTTTGGCATTGCCAGATGAAGAGTTTTTTTTGTACTACAACTTCTCAATTTTTGTGTGTGTGTGTGTGTGTGTGTGTGTGTGAATAATACTACTTATTTCTGGTGTTTATCAACGACATTGCAAATCTAGACATTAGCGGTAAAATCTGCCTCTTTGCGGACGATACTAGTTTCACTTGGAGCGGCCCAGATGTTACGGCACTATATGATACTATATCCAGTGACTTACGCACCATTAAATCTTGGTGCGATTCTAATCTCCTATACCTCAACCTTTCAAAAACTAAAGTTTTGTCATATAAAAGTACTATACAACCTTTTGTACTTAATAACACCACTATTGACGTCGTGGACTCTGTGAGATTCTTAGGACTTCTTGTGGACAACTCTTTAAAATGGGACTTGCACATCGAAGCCTTATCAAAGAAACTAAGCTCTGCCTGTTTTGCGCTAAGATCAGTGTCTAAGGAACTTATCTCATCAACCTCTAGAATGGTCTATTATGCCCTTTTTGAGTCGCATCTTCGTTATGCCCTTCCATTCTGGGATACTTGCTGCGCGACAAAATTTGATCGTATTTTCAAGCTTCAAAAGAGAGCAGTTCGATACTTATTGGGACTGAACAGTAGAACTCACTGCCAGAATTTCTTTAAAAATTTCAAAATACTGACTCTTCCTTCCTTATTCATTTTTGAATCCGTTTGCTTAATCCGCAAGTACATATTCTCTATTCCGGAAGGCCTTCTCACAACTATCCACTTAGGAATGCGGAGCACGATATTTATCTGCCAACCCCGAGCTCAGAACTAGTTAAGGGCTCAATACTGTACAATGCCAAGAAAATGTACAATCATTTGCCTTCGAATATCAAGTCACTTTCATTCTTTCCCGCATTTCGCAAAGCTCTAAAATCATACTTACTGGAGAGAGCCTATATGCGGTAAACGACTTTTTTGTTGATGTTTAATCATGAACAATCTAGAATTTTAATTTTAATATTTTGATCATCTCACACACTGGTTAAAGGTCTAGTATTTAATATTTTATAACTCTTGATTTTCTGTTATTATAACATGATTTTATCCATTTACTGTTTTCCTTTTGTAAAATTTTCTAGATACGCCTGTGTTTTGCAATGTCCATATATGTTTTATTTGTAATTTTATGAGGTAATTTTTTTTTGAATTGATTTGTATTGTATGACATTTTTTTATTATTTGTATATTTGTTTTTGTGCTTTTTTTGTTTTGCTTTGTCGATGAAGCTGTTTTGGCTTTTTGTACAATAAAGCGTTGTTTTTTTTTAAAATAATGACTGGAACTACGACTGGAAACCATGTAGTTGAGAATGCGGACCGTGGTAGCAGAAAAATAAAGAGAAATTTCACGTCTATAGGACAGAGAGTTTACTTTATTTTTTTCAGATATCATCAAAACTAGATTTTTCACTAGTAGTAACTCTAGTAAAAATCTATTAAGAAAATGTAAGACTTACAAGAGTCTTGAAGCAAAACCAAGGCCGAGGGGGAAATCACTGGGGTATTTTAGTATACAAACGCAAGGAATTACTGAGGATTTTTAGGTATTTCAAGAAATTTCAGGATATTTCGGGGAATTTCGAGGAAATTTCGGGAAATTTAGAGAAATTCAAGGGCATTTTATGAGAATTTGAAAACTCTTGGGGTATTTCTGGGAATTTCAGCGATTCTTGGGTAATTTTTAGAGGTCAGCAAAACTGCGATTCTCCAATCGAAATTGAATTTGCGATTGCGATTTTAATATTTAAATATTGTACCAGTTATATAATTGCCTGTGTATGTATCTATAGCTTAACAGTTCAAAAGAGTTAATAATAATCAGTTAATTTTTAAGTTTTTTTTAACATCTGCAACCCATATTATAGGTATTAAAACTTTATATATGCTGCAAGTATACATACCTACTGTTTTTACGGTTCTCAGTTATCTAATTCTTTATCCAATCCTTAAAAAAGTTAAAGAATTATTTTTTAAGATTGCATGCTCACCCCTATAACTTGTTTATTTTTTTCAGATAAAAAAAAACAGATTTGATACGTTAGTATAAGACATAAATCAGGATTGATTGACGTATTATTATCACGAAAAACAACATACGAACAAATCTATTTTTCCAAGACATCTTGATTAAAAATTAGTGTTTTTAACACAGTCATGCCATTCTAAATTGAAATTTAAAATGCGATTTTTTAAGCGAAAATGTCAATTCAGAGTGTTATTTTCTATCGAAAGTAAAAAAATACCGAAGGTGCCATTTAAGAATCAAAAGTTGTAGTCATTTCCGGTGAAACAAGAAGTGGCCATAAACAATTAAATACGTCAATCAATCCTAATTTATGTTATAAAAAAACATACCAAATCTCGTTTTTTTAACAGAAAAAATAGAAAAGAGCGTGGTTCACCTCTTGAGAAACACGCGGTATATTACGATCGTAACCCTAGAACAATAATACCTTCTCTATAAATAAATAATATCAGAAAAGAAAATTCAATCGCAGTTTACTATAAAATGCTTCAATAGACCACAAAATTACATTCGCAACAATATCGGAAATCGCAACTTCTAAAAATTCAATGATGAACCAATGGCAGGTTGCGATTTCAAAATTGCTGCGATTAAGTCGCAGGTTGCGATTTTTTGCTCATCTCTAGTAATTTTTCTCGAAAAGGAAATTTCAGTGTACAAATATGGTAGCGACATTTTGGTCTTGGTCTTGTCTTTGCTCCACCACTCGTCAGTATAAAGTAAAGTAAATACCACAACATCTTTTACAGGTGGTTATTGTATGATACGTACTTCCTTCAACAACAGATCGAATTTATGAAAAAAGAACTGCTAGAAGCAGAAGCAAATGGTCAATTTGTGCATATAATTGCCCATGTATTCCCCGGTGAGAAAGAATGCATTGAACCATGGGAAGTGAACTACAATTCGTTGATTACCAGGTAATTGTTTTTTTTTCATCATTGTACAAAGAAAATTTTTATTCTAATTTCTTACTGCCATTGAAAAAAGTGAAAGGATATATTTTTCATCTAAATATAATTATTAAATATGTTTATATACACTAATATATAGGGAGAATCTTAAATAAGTGAAAATATATTTTTTAGGGTGATATCAACCAAACAGATCAAAAATTCAGATTTTAAATATTTAAAAAAACGCAAATGCAATAATTTAAATAATGTATAGGAAAAAAACAGGGTTGGCATTTAAAAATCTGATTTTTGCCAACCCTGGGAAAAAATGAAATTAAAACAATTTAAGGTTTTCCCATATTGAACATATTTTTAATCATAAGAGTTTATTGCTTTCTTAAATAAACGTAACCCTTTTGCTTCCAGGTTTTCTCATATAATAAAGGGTCAATTTTTCGGACACACCCATACGGACGGTTTAAAAGTATTTTACAGTAAAATTGACGGCACACCAAACAACGTAGGATTCAATGGCGCCAGTCTAACTCCCTACACTAAATATAATCCAAACTATAAAATACTCAGTGTAGATCCTAACACATTTGTAAGTAGAAAATAACTAAATTTTAGTGTTATTGTTGTACAGAGTGTTTCAAAACTCTCTAGTGGGGAGATTCCTCACGTAAAAATAAGATTTATTTTTCATATCAACATAGGTCCGATTCTGATATGTTTCGTAGCTACAGGGTGTACTTTTAGTGACTCGAATGAAATTTTGAGGGTAAAAGTAAAAGCCTTGTTTATATATTCTTAAAGTTGCCCAACCGACTAGACAAAATGTGCTGCCAACTGGAGAACAAATCGTGAACTTTTCGGGGCGGAGTCAAAAATATCGATTATTTTCGTTATTTTCCTCAGAGTAATGTAATAATATAGCCCCGGGTTTCTGCGAACTTTAATAGTGATCAGCTGATTAAGAAATTTAAACGAAACTTTTTTTTTATAATTTTATTGTAAATTGTGGATTATTTTTGCCTGTTATTTTAAGAATTCTAAACCGTATTAACAAAGAAATTATTATTTCGATATGTTGGTACATTATTTATAATAATTTATGATAATGCTAATGCTGTTAATTAATATTAAAAAAAAGTTACATACCTATTTTAATTTGATTTAATGCAGGTTTATAAAAGAATAATTTCATTCTTAGATTATTTTATTCTAAATCGAGTGCTTTATGACTTTTACGATATTTTTTTTGAAAACATAAGACTTTTTACATTTTTCATGCCAACTAATTGGAATGGTATTATTGGTATGAAAATTTGCCAAGAAAGAAAAGAATTGGCTATAACTTGTAATTTTTCGAAAAAAACATATTATACCTATATCGCTGACAGGCTTAAAAAATGGCGCTTTTTATGAAGTCATGACCAACTATGGTTTCCATTTAAAAAAACATAATGTTTGTGTCATATGTCAAAAATGACAGGCTTTAGAAAAAAAAAGAAAACACAAACTCATTAGGTATGTGATTATCTACAACTTTTATCTGAAAACTTTTTGTCTAAAATACCGTATGATCGAATAAAAACGGCGTCAGCGATGGCTACGAAATGCCGATCGATGATATTTCCCATATAATTTTACATATAAAATGACAGCGATCTTCATTTTATAGCCATCGTTGACGCCGTTTTTATTCGATCATACGGTAGATTATAATGGAATTAGAGACAAGTTTTAAAATAGCCAAAATTCGTTTTTTTTCGAAATATCTAGTAAGCCTTGAACTTCTCCGAAAAATCCGAAAGGCGCATATTTATGACCCCACAAAACTGCAAAAAATACCCAAATACCTTCACTTCACCTACTACTCATCTACAAAATAAACTAATCTAATCTCTTATAAAAACACTACACAACTACTTGTATTCTACACTGAAAAATTATCAAACTTACTAATTAATCAAACAAAAAGAAAAAATAACCAAATTATCCCTTCATCTACTACTTAACTACAAAATAATAAACTATAAAAACACTACTAAACTATTTCTGGTATTCTACACTAAACATTATAATTAAACTTAATAAAATTAATCTAATTTTACACTACAACCACTACAACTACAAAGAAATAAGAACATTTTTTAAAACTAAAAGAAACAGAACTTCGATACGTGCAACCAGTATAATAGATCAAGCGGACAAAGAATATAAAATACTTTAAAAATGTGCATTCAGAAAGAAAAAATATCTCGAAAATTATCTAAACAAACATTTTTTTTTCTTATCAGTGAAAAGCATCGGCCTCGTCGGCCTTGCGAAATTTGTCGGGTATTTACCTTAGACTAAAACTTCTAGACGGAGCAAGTCATTCATAAATCTACTACAACCGTGTTCCACTTAGCCTGCTTAGAATGGAATCACGGAGGTTAAAATATCAATGAAAAGCCTTGAGTGGGGATAAGAACTTGGGACAGCAAATTTGGCGCGGCGATACTGGCCGGACTAATCCAGTGGCGTACTAGTTTTCGCAATTTCCGAAATATGAATTTAATTAAATTAATATAAAATTAAAATCGATCTTTAAAAAATTGTGTTAGCTAGTATAAATCTCAAAATGTTATTTTTATTTTGATTTGCATTTATACAAGACGCCTTAAATTTAATAGCATAGCATTTTAAAATGTCTTTATTTTAGTAATTACCGATTTAACATAACATTTTTTTTTCAAATTAATTAATGCTTTATAAAATATTTTTTCATTATTTTATAATCCTAAAACTTTGAAACCAAATTAAAAATAAATTTAAATATCTTTTATGCATGATTTAAATCATGTTCAGTGAATCTTGATTAGCACATACCTTGTGTTTTTCAGAAGTGGTTCGCTCCTATAACTTTTTGATTTTTTCCAAATAAAAAAATGAAATTTTGTATGTTACTAAATGACATAAATCGGGATTGATTGTTTTCAATTACTTGTTTCACCGGAAATGATTTAAACTTTTGAATTTTAAATGGTGCCCTAGGAAATTTTTTTCACTTTATTTGATAAAAAATTACATCATGACCATAGCATTCTAGAGTGAAATTTAAAAAATACCAATAAAAAACAACTACAATATAAACAAGCAGGTTTAACTTTGACAATTAATGACAATCGACAGTAATTTTACAATAAGTTTTTACAAATTAGTTGAAGGGTTGTTTTTTACCCTAACTTTAAAACACCCTGTGCAATAATTTCAAGAGCAAATTTTCCTAAAACATTATTTTTTAGTGAGAACCCCCATCCTGAATATCATCAGTCATGTTAACACACGCCTTGGTTAATTTTTAAGAGCAAAATGAACTGGCCACAAACATTTTGCAATGTTTTCGATTATTATCGTTACTTTTTAATGTTATTCTTCATTCATCTACCCGAAGCCCCATCTCGGGATATTAAAATATAACATCACATGCAAATTGTTGGTGGCAATTTCATTTCGCTCTTAAAATTGAACCAAGGCATGTGTTGACATGAGTTAAAAACAAAATGCTCAGGAGACATGGTTCTGATCGAAAAATACTGTTTTACGAAAAGTCACTTACTAAATTATTGCACAGGATGTTTTAAAGCTAGCTTAAAAAACAGCCGTACAATTAACCCTGTATAATAAACCAAATACTGAAGTTAATAAAAAAGTGAATTTATTAATTAAAGTTGATATATAAAGTTTGCCAAGAAAATCATTAAAATAGGGCTAAAAGTAAAAGAAATATCACATTAAATTTGACGAAAAAATTATCCGTTGGGTTTTTATTACATGTGAGTGTATATTAAAAATATATTTAAAAAATACATAAACAGACACATACATAAAATATAAAATATAGGAATTATTAATATATTCGACTATAAGATGGGTATTTACTTTGTAGGAGCGAAAAAAAACGGGTATCCATGACACTTATCATTAATAATTGTTTTTGATCAGAAATTTTGAAGGCAACACCGACGCCTTTTTTTGCGATCATACGATTTTTACGCGAGCATTGCATTAGGCAACATAACAAAGAACAAAATGTAGGTATTTCCAATTTACAGATGATTTACATAGGGCCTACCTAAAGTACCTTTTTTTTGTCTGGGTAAATATTTTTCTTTGTTGTGGTTTATGATTATGATGCAATCTTCCTATCAAATTTCTCATGTAAATAACCATCAAGTTTAAAATAATTTATATTTTATATAGTATATAATTACTAAGTTCCAATGTGGTTAAATAATAATTTCTTTAATTCATCAATCTTGATTTAAAATGAAATGTAACGCTACTGTTTCGAAAGAATCACGTATTTTATGGTAGGTCAGTACTTGCCTGTGAAATGACACATCAGGATTTTTCGAACTATTTTTCTTGCAAACTTGGCACATATCAACCATGATTATACAATATTTATAATTTTTATATCGAATGTCACTTTTTAAAATAATAAATTCACTACTTTTCAGTCAGAAAACACAAAAACACCTACAACGAAATAATCGCAAACACACGTGCCGCCAGTTTACTACGTCCAGATAAGAATTCCAATGTTGCCACGTTGACTGAACTATTTTCTGCTGATTAGATTAAATTATTTATTTTTCTATTTTTATTTAAGAGAACTGTTGTTTTACTTGCTTTAATCACTTAGTAAATGCTTATTATATACCATATAATAATTTTTAAACGTAGCATCAATAAATTATATTTTATTAAATAACTTAAAGATAAGTATGTATAATGAATATTCCCTGTTATAACGATAAACTGCATGATATGGCACATTTGTCCCGCAAGACCATTAGACCGTATCTCATCGAAGGAGCCAAACAATGGATCGGCTCGCGCTCTCTATTGTCTTACTCTAAGGTATTTACAATGGTCGAATTGTATAATTACAAGCTTTTATAGCATATCTAATAGATAAAAAGTATCTGGTCGATTATTAACCAATTGGCACAGTCCGAAAACTATCGATTTTTATTTTCTCTGTTTTTATTGGTCGCTTCAAAATTCAGAGTGACAAAAAATATTTTTCTGTAGTAAAAGACCGTGAAATACGCCCTGCCATCTGGTGCTTTACATCCATAAACGTCTTAGGTTGAGCTACTTTAAAAATTCATATACAAGGGTAAAAGTTACTATAAGTGTTACATATTTTAATGGTAAAAAAGAGTCGATAAATTCATCAGGGACGCGCAAATGGTTTATCACTGCCATATTTTTCGAAAAAAAAACATATGCGCCACTGACTATTTTCTTTTGATATCAAAATTGTGTAGGCCGTTAAATGCAAATTAAAAGTTATCTCTTGATATTTTGTCGAATTCGGCCTCCTCGATGAGATAAACGCAATGTTATTAATCACAATTAATAAAATATAAACAAAAATTAAATTAATAAATTATATATTTTACCTAATTTATTATCAAATGTTATTACTATTAGTTATATTATTACTATTGGTCCAACCTACAGCAATTTCAAATAAAAAAATAATGGTGTTAAAAATATTACAAAAAACCTAATTTTAAAAAGTTTTAACATCCCGTAACTCTAAAACTATGCATTTCCATACCCATGTTTATAGAAACTTTTTTTCATAATTTTTGATGAGGAATCAATGAGTACTTATTTAAAACTTTCTCAAGATAATGATATTAAATTTTTTTTAAAGGTTGCTATTAGACTTAGATCAAGGCAAATAACGTAATAAAACTGCGTTTATCTCATCAAAGAGGCCGAAATCGACGAATTATTAAGAGTAAGAGACAACTTTTAATCGGCATTAAACTGCTTACACTATTTCGCTTACAAGAGAAAAAAGTCAGTGGCGTACATGTTTCTTTTTAGAAAAATATTCTAGTGATAACCCAACGTTCATGGTGAATATGTCGACACGTTTTTAGCTTTAAAATATGTGGCATTTATAGTAACTTTTACCCTCAAAATTTCGTTCGAATCACTAGAAGTACTTGGAAGAAAATAATAATAAATCGAAAAATTATTAAGATTTTAACACCCTGTAGCTACGAAACAAAGCAGAATCGGACCTATATTGATACGAAAAATAAATCTTATTTTTACGTGAGGAATCTGCCTACGAGAGATGGCACATGTTTTTTTTTAAACACCCTGTATAACAAGAGAGTTGTTTTAGGACATTTTAGATGTCGAAACGTATTTCTTTAACTTGACTGAAGCCAATCTGCATCCAGATAGGACACCGAGATGGACGAGACTTTATTCGCTGAAAGAAGCGTATTCTTTTCCGGATTTGTCACCAGAAAACTTTGATTGGTTAGCTAAAAATCTACCTAGGGATAGTTATTTGTTTGATATGTATTGGAGGTAAGCGAAAATAATATACAAAGCAAAGAGATTTTTTCAAATAATAACCTTTTCATTAAGTTTAAGAAAATATTTGTAGTTAAAGGTGATTCTTAGGATAAGTATGATAATGAAAGTCCAAAGATTTCATTCCCAATAGACACAAAATATCCATAATTTCCCGTTACATATACAGGGTGGCGCCTCTCATACGACGCGGAGGCTCCAAAAAGTACGGTAGTTTATATCGAAATGAAATTTTGGGAGTACATATAATAATACCTATGTAGGTTAATTGAAAGCATTTTATAAAAATACATATTATAGTTCTACAGGATGTCCCCAAAAAAGGTACGCATTAAACTTATGTTTTTTGTAATGGAACACCCAATATATTAATTGATTTTCGGATTCTAGGTAAAAAATAAGGCTGAATTTAATTATTACAGAAGCATATACCTAAAACGTAAGGATTTTGACGTAAGGATATTTCACACTTTGTGAAAATGAAGAATAAATTTTAAATTTCAATAACAGCTACCTAAATTGTAATTTACCCTGTATAGCCCGATATACGTATAGTAACAACAACTAGCTAGATGAAATCAAATGCTCAAAATGCTTCCTTTAAAATTATTCTCTTTTTAAAAGATATTTTCATGTTAAAAAGCACATGTGGAGTTCTACTTCGAAAATCAGCTATACTCATTTCTCTCATGTTGTTGACAATAGTTGGTCCCATTGGTTGGTCCAGTTTTGTAAACACTCTCTTTAACCTATCGGCATAAAAAAGCCCCAACATTTAAGTATTCCTTTAATGTAGTGTGCATTCACCAACTAATAGAATCATATCAATTCTCTCTGATACTCTGATGTAGGATAAGTTTCCAGTTTCGGGAAATTTCTGAGAATATTTTTTTGTTTTAGCTAACACAAAAGGAACTAGTTGTTAAAATTGATCTAATTAGGTATGTTAAAGTAACGTCAGACAGCCAACTAGATTTTATCAAATCTAGACTAATATATAAAATCGTTACCCAAGCAGCATTTGGACGTCGGGACAACGTTGTGTCACGCGACCAAACGTCGGGGCGCAACGTCGGCACAACCTCGTGCCAACCCTAGTCTGCACTAGCTTGGGGAATAATTTTTGGGTCGAAACGTTAGATACCGACGTTGGCTAGAAGCCTAATTTAGTACAAACTGCAACGTTGTTTAAAATCCTAATTCACAGAAATACAAAACTAATATGGCGTCTAAGTCGCGTTTTATCCTAAATTGGGATAATTATAGTAAAAATATTATTTTTATGATTTAGTTAGAGACATATGTCAGATGGCAGTGAAGGAAAACAAAACAAAAGTATTTAAGTGTGGAGGATGTTTGAAGATCATAATTATTCAAACACTTTAACCGACTCTGTAACTCGTTACCCCAGGCAAAAAAGTTAAACGCAAACAACTTTATTGATAAATGTATTGTTTCTACTTTGAAAAATACTAATGGGCCTTAAAATTAAAGAAGTTTTAAAAATTTTCTTGATTTTTTTTTAGTAAATTGAGAATAATTTATTCGCAGTCGAAAAAATTGTTTCCGCGTGTTTTTTAGGGTCAAATATTTCAAGTTAATGTATTCAAAAAGCAGGAATTGCTATTTTAGGAACGAAACATTTTCTTATTTAACAACATGGCGGCTTTCACTTTGTTGTTTTGGGAGATTAAGATGGAGTAGTTCGAGTAGTCGCATACTGGACTAATAAAGTCGCAGTTCAGCCTTAACAGGTAGTATACTAGTCGCAAGATTGCCTAATTTAGTCATCCTAGAGTCTAGCTTGTGCCGCCCTCTATAATCTAAATAAACGAGGGAGTGGATAAACTATCGGTAATATATGCCGATGTATATTTAAATTTAGTTTTATATGTACCTTTCTTATGTCCCATTTTAAATAAGTTTTTTTTATAAAAACAAAAACAGCACTGAACTGTCTGACTGAACAGAACAATGAAGTGAAAATTTAAGATTTAAGGTTATGGTTCAATACAGTTGCAAAAAGGTAGTGCCTCGACGTCCTACCAACGTAAGAATAAGGAAATCTAAACAACGTTGGAATAAGTAAAACAGACGACGTTTGCATAACGTTGGAATAGGTCCTGAAACTGACGTCGGAAAACTCTATATTATCCAACGTTGTAACTACGTTGTCCGAATCACCTAAAGATCACTTAAGCAAAAAAGGTTACAAGACAACGTTTATTCGACGTCGCAGAAGCTTCCTACTTTGCTGTAGTACTAGTCCAACGTCGGCACAACGTTATAAAAACGTTTAAATTTATTTTAATACCTAAGGTAGGGAGCTAACTATTTTTTGTAACTAATCCAACGTTGTGTTTAATAAACATGTGGTCGCAAGTCGTGAAAATGCTACTTGGGGGGATTTTTCGAAACTCGAACTCTAAGGGGGTAAAACTATCCCTCAAATATTAAAATATTTTTTATTTAAAAACCGGTGAGTTTTTCGGAAAAACTCTTAAACACGTATATTTTATTTTGTTGTTTTACATATTTTAAGATTTTTTATAAATTTATACAGGGTGTTGTGAGTAATCACGATTCCGCTTAAACTGCTTGACGTTTAAAGCTAATTTTTGGCAAATGGATTGACTGTGGGGTGTAGAGGTTCGATAAGGAGGGGTTTCTCGAATCTCAAATTCCAAGAGGGTGAAAACGCCCCTCAAATATTATATTTCTTATTTAAAAAAAGGTTAGTCTTTCGGGAAAACGTTTGGACAAGCATAATTTATTTGGTTTTTTACATATTTTGAAATTTTTTAAAAAATCATACAGGGTGTTCCAAAATGTTGGGTAATTTCTTAACCACAATTCTGCTTAAACTGTTTGACGTAAAAAGCTTATTTTTGGCAAACGGATTTTTCGAAAGTCAAATTCCAACGAGATGAAACTACCCCTCAAATATTACCAAGTTATATAATAATATCGCCATATTGTTTTTTCTCATGCTGACATAAATGTGAGAAAATTTTATCCAGTTTGTATATGTTAATGGAAATTCTTGCTTTGCTTTATCATCACCATTACAAATAATTAATTCGACGCGAATGAAGTCGTTGGTACACGCTAGTATATAATAAAGATTTACTGACACTAAATCATAAAAATAAAAATATCTAGGAAATTTTTTATTTTAGAGGTAGGCAACCTTAATAGTATTTTGAAGAGACATGAATTCTCCCTTGAATATGGGAATAATATACTGGGTGTTCCAATTAAAATAAAAGTGTAACTTGCTTTTAAAGGTGGCCAATGTTCAATATTAATTTTGTCTCACCCTGTACAACTTTTTGGGTCAAATTTTAATTTGATTTAAAGTAGGTACAACAGTTATTTTAACTACATATTAGGCTATACCGGGTAAATTCCAAAAATGTTCTTCATTTTTTGAAAATTTTAAATAAGTCAAAAACCTTACACTTATGTCATATACTTCTCTAATAAAATGCTCACCCATGGTACAAAGAAAACAAGGTATGATCGATAGCGGCTCCATTTTCGTTAAGTTTGCGCATACCACCTGTGACGTCATATGTCAAACAAAAAAATATCCATATTGTTCAATTGCCACTAATAAAAAAAGACCTAAAATAAGGAAGAATTAGGACATAACTCCAAAAGTTATGTTAAATCATGGAGCTTGACATTTGAAAAATTATTTTCACATTTATTATGTCATCTGTTTGACAATTTGAAATCGGCGCGCGGTGCTTGCCGACCAATGGTGCCGTTTATCACCTGTGACGTAATGACCAACCTGCGCAATATCATACCTTGTATTCTTTGTATCATGATGCTCACCTTTATTTTTGTCCTAGAATCCGTTAATATATTAATATATTAATATATAGGGTGTTCCATTACAAAAAGCACAACTTTGATAAGTAACTTTTTTGTGGACACCCTGTAGAACTCTCTATATTTTTAAAAAGTGCTCTAAATTAACCTACATACGCTTACAAAATTTCATTTCAATACAAACTATCGTTCTCCTTGGAGCCTCCGCGTCGTATGAGAAGCGCCACCCTGTACAGGGACATCATTTTAAGTGTCTCACTCGATTTATAATTTTCCTGTTTGGTATTTGAAGATAGTAGAAAGATTTCCTAATGTAATTTTTCGCGAGGATGCCGATTCTCTACACCAAAATTTTTTAAAACGTCAATTTTGACAGATACGACGCCATCTTGATTTTTTTTTAATGGAAACCCCCACATATTTTAGCATGATCCGGTAGACATATTTTAGCTAATTTCAAAAATATATAGCTTAGTATACTTTGCACTTACCGTTTTCGATATACAGTGGATTTAAAAATGAATTGTTCCAGAATCATTTTAAGTGTCTCACCCAATTTAAAATTTTCCTCTTTTCTATTTTAAGAGAGTAAAAAGATATTTTAATGTAATTTTTCGCGAGGATGCCGATTTTCTACATTAAAATTTTTTACAACGTCAATTTTGACAGATACGACGCCATCTTGATTTTTTTAAATGGAAACCCCCACATATTTTAGCATGGTCCGGTAGACATATTTTAGCTAATTTCAAAAATATATAGTTTAGTATACTTTGCACCATAGATAAAAGACTTATATTCTTTGCACTTACCGTTTTCGATATACAGTGGATTTAAAAATGAATTGTTCCAGAATCATTTTAAGTGTCTCACCCAATTTAAAATTTTCCTCTTTCCTATTTTAAGAGAGTAAAAAAATATTTTAATGTAATTTTTCGCGAGGATGCCGATTTTCTTCATTAAAATTTTTTACAACGTCAATTTTGACAGATACGACGCCATCTTGATTTTTTTTAAATGGAAACCCCCACATATTTTAGCATGGTCTGGTAGACATATTTTAGCTAATTTCAAAAATATATAGCTTAGTATACTTTGCACTTACCGTTTTTCGATATACAGTGGATTTAAAAATGAATTGTTCCAGAATCATT